TTAAAGCATTGAACAGGAAAATCGAAACACTCGAAGGTCAAGAAATGGGAAAATCAAAACATCGATTAATTGAAAAATCGAAAATTTGAAAAAACGACAATTGAAAAACAGAAAATCTAAAACCTGGAAGTCGAAAAATCGATTGATTAAGGAATCAAAACATTTGAAAAATTCGAAAACTTGAAAAACTGAAATATCGAAGAAGTGAAATGAAAAATCGAGAAATCGAAAAATCTAAAATGTTAAATATTGAAAAATTGAAATATCAAAAAACAGAAAAATCTAAAATTTAAAAATCGAAAAATTGAAGAAACGACAATTGAAAAACAGAAAATCTTAAACCGGGAAGTCGAAAAATCGAAAGATTAAGAAAGACATCGAAACATTTGAAAAATTGAAATATGGAAGAGCTGAAATGAAAAATCGAGAAATCGAAAAATCTAAAATTTTAAATATTGAAAAATTAAAATACCAAAAAATTGAGAAATCTAATATTTAAAAATCGAAAAAGTAAAAAGTCGACACATCGAAAAATCCAGAAGTCAAAAGTGGAAAAGTCGAAGAACAGAAATATTGAAAAATCCCAAAACTGAAATATCGAAAAACTGCAAAATGAAAGAAAAACTGACGAATCGAAAAACTGAAAAATCCCAAAACTGAAATATCCCAAAACTGAGAATCTAAAGAATCGAAAAAGTGAGAAATCGAAAAATCAAAAAAGTGAAGTCGAAATATCGAAACCTGAAAAATTGAAAAATTGAAAAACCAAAAAACCTAAAAAAAAAACAATTAATTGAAAAATCGACAAATAAAGAGTTTATAAAAGTCAAAATTTGAAAAATCGAAATATTTAAAAATCGTAAAATTGTAGAGAAAAACTGAAAACCAAGATATTGAAATATTGAGAAATTGTAAAATTGAAAAATAAATAGGAGTAAACTGAAAAGTCCCCAAACTAAAACTTCGAAAAATAGAAACCTTAAAAAATCGAAAAATTGAAAAATCAAAAACCAGAAAAATCAAAAAATTAAAGAATTGAAGAACAGGAAAATCGAAACACTCGAAGGTCACGAAATGGGAAAATCAAAACATCGATTAATTGAAAAATCGAAAAATTGACAGTTTATAAATGTCAAATATGAAAAATTGAAAAATCAAAAATTTGAAAAAAAACGACAATTGAAAAACAGAAAATTTAAAACCGGGAAGTCGAAAAATCGAAAGATTAAGAAATCGAAACCTTTGAAAAATTGAACTACCGAAGAGCTGAAATGAAAAATCGAGAAATCGTAAAATTTAACATTTTAAATATTGAAAAATTAAAATACCAAAAAACTGAGAAATCTAATATTTAAAAATCGAAAAAGTAAAAAGTCGACACATCGAAAAATCCAGAAATCAAAAATGGAAAAGTCGAAGAACAGAAATATTGAAAAATTCCAAAACTGAAATATCGAGAAACTGAAAAATGAAAGAAAAACTGACGAATCGAAAAACTGAAAAATCCCAAAACTGAGGATCTAAAGAATCGAAAAATGAAAAAAGTGAAGTCGAAATATCGAAACGTTAAAAAAATCGAACAATTGAAAAATCAAAAACCTGCAAAATCGTAAGATAGAAACATTGAATAATAAGTAAACTGAAAAATCCCAAAACTGAAATATCCAAAAACTGAGAAAATAAAAAATTGAAAAATTGAGAAATCGAAAAATCAAAAAAGTGAAGTTGATTTTACAATTTTTCGACGTGTTTCGATTGCCCGATCTTTCGATTTTTAACTTCTCGTATTTCAATTTTTAGGCTTTTCAATTTGTCGATTTATGGATATTCTGATAATTCAATTTTTCCACTATTCGATTTCTCGATATTTTGACTTCTCAGTTTTTCGAAAAACAGACCTTGGAGGCCTGTAATATTATTAAAGTTAATTAAAAAAATAAAAATTAAAAGTTTCATGGGTCTCTAGTGTCTTTTTTTAATGGTTTAAACGGCTTTTTTTTGTTTCTGAAAAAAAAATTGATAATTGAAAAATCGAAAAATTGACAGTTTATAATGTCAAATATGAAAAATTGAAAAATCGAAAATTTGAAAAAATGACAATTGAAAAACAAAAAATTTAAAACCGGGGATTCGAAAAATCTATTGATTAAGAAATCAAAACATTTGATAAATTCGAAAACTTGAAAAACTGAAATATCGAAGAAGTGAAATGAAAAATCGAGAAATCGAAAAATCTAAAATGTTAAATATTGAAAAATTAAAATATCAAAAAACAGAAAAATCTAAAATTTAAAAATCGAAAAATTGAAAAAACGACAATTGAAAAACAGAAAATCTAAAACCGAGAAGTTGAAAAATCGATTGATTAAGAAATCAAAACATTTGAAAAATTGGAAAACTTCAAAAATTGAAATATCGAAGAACTGAAATGAAAAATCGAGAAATCGAAAAATCTAAAATTTTAAAAACTAAAAAATCTAAAATTAAAAAATCGAAAAATTGAAAAATCGAAAAAGTAAAAAAATCGGCACACCGAAAACTCCAGAAGCCAAAAATCGAAAAGTCGAAGATACGAAATATAGAAAAATCCCAAAACTAAAATATCGAAAAACTGGAAAATGAAAGAAAAAATCGAAACATTTGAAAAATTGAAATATGGAAGAGCTGAAATGAAAAATCGAGAACTTGAAAAATCTAAAATTTTAAATATTGAAAAATTAAAATACCAAAAAATTGAGAAATCTAATATTTAAAAATCGAAAAAGTAAAAAGTCGACACATCGAAAAATCCAGAAGTCAAAAATGGAAAAGTCGAAGAACAGAAATATTGAAAAACTGCAAAATGAAAGAAAAACTGACGAATCGAAAAACTGAAATATCCAAAAACTGAGAATCTAAAGAATCGAAAAAGTGAGAAATCGAAAAATCAAAAAAGTGAAGTCGAAATATCGAAACCTTAAAAAAATCGAAAAATTGAAAAATCAAAAATCTGCAAAATCGTAAATTCGAAAAATTGAATAATAAGTAAACTGAAAAATCCCAAAACGGAAATGTCCAAAAACTGAGAAATTAAAAAATTGAAAAATTGAGAAATCGAAAAATCAAAAAAGTGAAGTTGAAAAATCGAAACCTGAAAAATAGAAAAATTGAAAAACCAAAAAACCTAAAAAAACAATTAATTGAAAAATCGACAAATAAAGAGTTTATAAAAGTCAAAATTTGAAAAATCGAAATATTTAAAAATCGTAAAATTGTAGAGAAAAACTGAAAACCAAGATATTGAAATATTGAGAAATTGTAAAATTGAAAAATAAATAGGAGTAAACTGAAAAGTCCCCAAACTAAAACTTCGAAAAATAGAAACCTTAAAAAATCGAAAAATTGAAAAATCAAAAAATTAAAGAATTGAAGAACAGGAAAATCGAAACACTCGAAGGTCAAGAAATGGGAAAATCAAAACATCGATTAATTGAAAAATCGAAAAATTGACAGTTTATAAATGTCAAATATGAAAAATTGAAAAACAGAAAATTTAAAACCGGGAAGTCGAAAAATCGAAAGATTAAGAAATCGAAACCTTTGAAAAATTGAAATACCGAAGAGCTGAAATGAAAAATCGAGAAATCGTAAAATTTAACATTTTAAATATTGAAAAATTAAAATACCAAAAAATTGAGAAATCTAATATTTAAAAATCGAAAAAGTAAAAAGTGGACACATCGAAAAATCCAGAAATCAAAAATGGAAAAGTCGAAGAACAGAAATATTGAAAAATTCCAAAACTGAGATATCCAAAAACTGAGGATCTAAAGAATCGAAAAATGAAAAAAGTGAAGTCGAAATATCGAAACGTTAAAAAAATCGAAAAATTGAAAAATCAAAAACCTGCAAAATCGTAAGATAGAAACATTGAATAATAAGTAAACTGAAAAATCTCAAAACTGAAATGTCCAAAAACTGAGAAAATAAAAAATTGAAAAATTGAGAAATCGAAAAATCAAAAAAGTGAAGTTGATTTTACAATTTTTCGACGTGTTTCCATTGTCCGATCTTTCGATTTTTTAACTTCTCGTATTTCAATTTTTCGGCTTTTCAATTTCTCGATTTATCGATATTCTGATAATTCAATTTTTCCACTATTCGATTTCTCGATATTTTGATTTTTCAGTTTTTCGAAAAACAGACCTTGGAGGCCTGTAATATTATTAAAGTTAATTAAAAAAATAAAAATTCAAAGTTTCATGGGTCTCTAGTGTCTTTTTTTTAATGGTTTAAATGGCTTTTTTTTTAATTGAAAGAATCTTGGGGGCCCTTAGTGGAATTTCATTTGAAAAAATAAATCGAAAAAGACTTTGGAGGCCTCTGAGGTTTTTTTTTTGAGATTGTAAAGTTTCTTGGTATTTTAATAAAACGAATTTTAAAAAATCTCGGGAACCCTGGTGTTTTTTTTAAGAATATGAGATACGTATCTTGGTAACAAAAAAAAAATCTCGGGGACTCCTAGGATATATTTTTTAAGAACTTAATTTAAAAAACACCCCGGAGAAGCATTTAATTAAAATAAAAAAAAAAAATCAGGGGCCCAAGTGCCGTTCAAAAAATTTGGAAATTTGTATCATGGAGTAGTCTTTTTTAATTTAATATGGAAAAAAAAAAGAAAAAACCTCGAGACCTTTTTTGGAGATAATCTTGATATTTTTAGAAATTTAGTGTTTCGTTTTTGAAAAATTTGTAATACTCTTCGCCTCCTGGTGTTTTATTTATTTATTTATTTTTTTATTGAAAGAATTTTGAGGTTCCTGGCGTGTTTTTTCTTAGCAGTTTAAAAGAATCACAAATGTTATGTTTTTCAACGAAATTACAAGAACTTTGGGGTTTTACGAGTGTCCATCCCCACCAGAATTTGCTAAGCGAATCCAAATCAAAATTCTAACATTTCAATTAAAAAAAATACGCAGGTGTTTTTCTTGAAGTTTAAAAAACGAATTTCCTTGCGTCAGGTGCAAGTGGACCCGTATCTGGAGGACTCGCTGTGCTCGGTATGCAACGTCCAGCAAGGCCCCTATTTCTGTCGTGATATCGTGTGTTTCCGTTACTTTTGCCGTAACTGCTGGCAGTGGCAGCACGATAACGGTACCCGCCACCACAAGCCGCTGATGAGGAATTCGAAAAACTACCCGACGGTGGGAAACCACCCCACTTCGAATCAATAAATAAACGAAACGACTTCGCCGTTCAATCTTACTTAGGTGTAGCCCATGTAGTAAAAATGCTCATCATGTGTTTAGTCATATTATCGAACTATTCTTAGATGTAGGATATGTTACATTGCTGTTGTTTTTAGTATAGGTTGTTTAAAATTTGCCAAGATGTATATTGGTGGCCTTGAAGAGTTTGCGAACTCTTGCGAAATCTTGCGATTTTTATGTACTATAATTCTGGGGGGTTGTATCCTGTACGTTTTCCTTTAATTTTTGATAATAGCGAAATGTGTATTGTGCAGATAACCCGTTTTAATAATGATGGTTAGGTATTTGGAGGTGGGTTTTTAACACTCACTAAACAGTTTTCGAAGTAGCTGTAATTGTGATTTTATGATAGATCCAAAGTCTTTATTCATTGTCCTAAACTAATAGTTTTAAGAGTTTGATGAATACTTTTTAAATCATAATTTTGTTAATTTAACTCTAAATTTAGATGGGTAGTTGGGTAGCATTTAATGATTCTACAGTACACCTATGTGTATAATGAGTGCAGTATTTTCTGTAAAGTAGGACTGATCGATTAAGATAACCGCGACGTTTTTGGATACGATTTTTTGGCTACCAGTTTTTTCTGTATTATGGATAAATGTCATTATTATTAAACATCATATGCATAATTTCGCTTCTCTTGTTCACCTTAACTAGAAACATCAAAAATATGCAGTCTCCTACATTTCTCAGAATATCTTTTACGTTGTTTTGTTTTTTGTTTTAGTACTGTTTGTTTTGTTGATTGTTTGTGATTGTAGCGTAAGTTCCTTTTAACATAGTCGCATCACAAAATTGGTGAACGATTTTACCAATTTTTTTGAGTTTTAGCATGGACTAATGTCGTGTTGCATGGCAGAGACTGACCAAATTTTCTAAGCTTTTAACTCGACCAAAAATTTTAGTACTTTTATCGTTGTTTTAATGAAATTGTTCGTTTTAAACCATAACTCTAATTGTAGAATTTTTTTATTTGGTATTTTAACATTCAAATTCTCAGGTGTTGCACAACAGAGCATAGATACGTGATATAGTGAAAACCCACGTTTCTATTATAAAGTTGCAGATGCCATACTCCTCACTCGGAACACAGTATCAGATCTATCCCGTGTTGTGCATGTTGTTTTAAATTGAATTCGTGCGTTTTAATGCATGCGTGGTGGAATTGGACAACTATTTTAAATTTTTTATCTTTCTTTTCTCGTTTGTTCCTGTATTCAAAAAATGTATTTTATGTGTTTTAAACTAATAAATCACGTTGGGTTTAACCGTGTTTTTGTACCCCGCTTACTTTATTTATTAATAAAACAACAATATTTACAATTTTTTCTTAGCGTAAATCTGATATATCCCTAGAACTGATGACATAGTAGCTATAAGACCGACCTGCCAGGTGTTCAGTTTGGACGACCAGAGGAATCCCTTGGGAAGGGTGTTCACGGCGTGGACGAAATCCAGACTTAAACGGACACACGTCAGAATTTCGTAGTGTTGTCTTGAAAGAAGTTGTTCCAAGGACGTGCTGAAAATGTTTATTATTTTTGGAAAATTGGTGACAAAGGGCTTACTTTTCGTCGTTCTTTAACGTAACACAGTGCTTGTGTTTTTGTAGGACGGCAACAAAGTGTAAACTCCTGCAAAAAAAAGGTGAATTTTTTTTTCAAGTTTAACCCAATGGTTACCTCATCAGGGTTAAGTAAATCGACGCCACCCAGAATATGGAACTTATGGTGTCCCATTTGTTTGTGTCTACCCCACTAATCAAATTATTTTCTGCAAGCCAGCCAACTTTTTCCACAGGGTAGTACAACTGGTCGATGATATTTGTGGTGACTCCAAGTGCCGCCATCAATTTATCAGGTTCCTGATCACAAAAAATGTGTGTATATAGACACAAATTAAAAAAAAGTGAGGACCTAACCTCTTTTCCAAAACCATACTCTAAGTTGTACTTCAACATTGGAAAATCATCTAAAAGTCTGAGAGTAGTTCGTGTGGCTGACATAATCTTGCTAAATTTTAGCATCTTTTCGGTCAGAAGCTTGTTGGAACTGGCCCCACCAATCAACTTTGTGCTGTAACATAGTGTCCGTAGGATCTACAATATTTCAGTTGTTTAGGTACTAAGAACACTGATTCAAGTACTCACTTTATCTCTACCCTTATAAGAGTCCAAGAGGACGCAAATTTCGTCCAACACAACTGAAAACATGTCGATAATGGTTGCAGAAAAATTTCAATTGCATTCCACTAGTGTGGCAAGGCTAGATGTAGTTCACCTCATTGAACACGATACTTAAGGTCAAGGTAATCTTAACATTCCTGCCGACCTAGTGAAAGTATATTTTCTCCCTTTCAGCAAAAAGTAGCCTCCACACAAAACGAAAAATTGACCCTTGAAATTTCGTTATCTGCTTGATAAAGGTACAACGTCATCGTTTCCCATGCTTATCAGTGCTATTTATGTTGTAGTGAACGCTTTCTACGTAATAAAAAAAATGTATTTTATAATTTATGTGGTGACATTTAAACTCGGCCATTCGTGACGTCACTGGAGTGACGTTTTGGTTAGCAGTTTTGCCAAAAGTAAACACCGATTAAGATGTATGAGACTCAAATAGCGCGACACTATTTCTAAAATTTATTCGAAAACAAGAAAATCTATCTACAATTTAAGATCTATTATTAGAATTATTTAGTCGTTTGGGTGATATTCGTATTCTTCACAATCGCCGGAATCTGGTGATTGTGAAGTTGCGAGGTTGTCATCCCGCACCCGTCACTTTGCTGTCAATTTCCCGCCTTCTACCAAAACATGGCTGTGTCCCCAAAATCGCTAAAATGCAAAATAGGACCATCGATTCTCAACGCCGATCTATCTCAACTCTTCCTGGAGTCCCAGCGCCTCCTCGACAACGGTGCCGACTACCTCCACCTCGACGTCATGGACGGCCACTTCGTTCCTAACCTCACAATCGGCCACCCGGTTGTCAAATGCCTCCGGAACAAAATCCGACACGCGTTCTTCGAAACCCACATGATGGTCTCGGAGCCCGCAAAAGTGAGTAGTCGGAGCCCCCGAGCTTCCAATACCCTGGCATTTTCAGTGGGTCGAACCCATGGCCGACGCCGGCGTCAATCAGTACACATTCCACATCGAACCCGTCAAGGAAGTCATCCCTCTGTGCCGGAAAATCCGCGAGGCGGGCATGACGGTGGGGCTGGCGCTGAAGCCCGGGACCGGAATCGAGGCGGTGCGCCAGTACATCGACCACGCCGACATGATTTTAATCATGACGGTGGAGCCGGGCTTCGGGGGGCAGCAGTTCATGACGGACATGATGCCTAAAGTGCAGTGGCTGCGACACAACTATCCGGGGCTGGATATAGAGGTGGACGGGGGCGTCGGCCTAAACACGATAACGGCGTGTGCAGAGGTGAGGGACGAAGTGTGAGAGGGCAAAACTCACGATTGGTTTCAGGCGGGGGCCAACATGATCGTGGCGGGGACCGCAGTTATCAACTCTAGCGACCAAAGGGCTGTAATGGCGAACCTAAGGGAAACCGTAGAACGCTCAATTCATAAATGCAACGTTTAAGGCTGCCATTTGTGATTCACTTTTTTCGGAAATGGTGTCAAATTGTTATTATCGTTGGTTTTTTTTGGTTGACATTCCGTGGTATTTTTATTATAAATTTTAATAATAAATGATTGTTGGATGAAACATAACCTTTATACATAACCTAAAATCGTGAACAACCTATTAACACAGAATAGACTAGTCCAGACATTAAAACAAGTTGCGTTAACGCACGCAAACCCATCTACAGAGTCTCGATTCAATCATAAACTCACCACTAAACAAAAATTCGCATTTAAATTCAAACTAGAAAAAGTGAGGTTATGTTTCTAAATCACGGTCACAAAAGTGAGGTTAGTTTTTCAGAGCTTCTAATTTACAAATTAAAAACTATGGGTAAAGTTAAAGAATCGACCACTAAGCTTAAAAGTTGGAGCGAAATCAACAAATCTCGTAAAGAAGAGAAACGAAAGTGGAAAGAAATTAATTTGAAGAAAAAACTACAAAAACAAGTGGAGCCCCAATCGTCGGGCGAAGCCTCCACGGTCCCCGATCCACCCAAAACCGTTGCGACTGTATCGATTGCCGTGCCTGGGTCAATTCTGGAGACCGCGCAGACCCCGGAGCTACGGACTTATCTAGCGGGGCAGATCGCCAGGGCCGCTTGCATGTTCCAAGTGGACGAAATCGTGGTCTTCGACGACTACGCAGACGAAGCAAACGCGAAAAAAGCGACCGTGGAAGACGAAGACGGCGTCAGAAGCATTCGAGACAGTTGTATGCAATTGGGGCGAATTTTGCAATATTTGGAGTGCCCCCAGTACCTCAGAAAGCACTTTTTTCCAATTCACGCCCACTTAAAGTATTGCGGGATTTTGAATCCTTTGAATGCCCCTCATCACTTAAGCAAAACGGACTTTTTTGATTATAGGTTAGGTTCAATTTTGGTTAATTTGTATTAGTTTTGGTGGTTGTAGGGAAGGGATTGTGTTGAACAAGACGGTGAAGGCAGGCCGGGGGTCCCTCGTCAATGTGGGGTTGCTGAAGGAAGTACAAGTCGATAAATTGTTGTCACCTGGATTAAGATGTACTGTGAGACTTTTGGAAGAAACTACGAAGAAGTGGAAGGGGGTTATCGTGCCGCCGTCGACCCCGCGCGCCGACAAGGGGGTTTACTGGGGCTACGTAATCCGACTGGCCAATTCTTTGTCGAAAGTATTTTCACAAAGTCCACACAAAGAAGGGTACTTGAAATTCGCTTTATAACAGCTAAATAATTCAGTTTTTTAGGTATGATCTGACCATTGGGACTTCAGACAAAGGCACCAGTGTCGACGAATTCGCCTGTCCCCAATTTAAGCACGCTTTGATTGTGTTTGGAGGGGTTGAAGGACTTGAGTTCGCCCTTGAAAACGACGATGTCCTTGAAGCTGACGATCCAAGGTTACTTTTTGATCATTACTTGAACTCGTTGCCGCGTCAAGCATCCAAAACAATTAGGACAGAAGAGGCCATTTTGATAACGTTGGCAGCGCTAAGGCCTAAGTTACAAATCAACAATTAATAATTTATTTTTATTACCACGTCCACAATGAAAAAATAATTATTTGGCTTAAATAGATTCTATTTTTTGTTTGCTGTGTCTAGTATACTTCTGAAGTCTGTGCTGATACCGGGGGCTTCAAAACTGTCGGTTGAGTTTGTTTTCATGATGGTGTCGTTGCCCCGGGATGCCCCTGGTGCTCGGAAAAGCTCTTCGGCGCTGTCTTCGTCGTCGTCAGAAGGAACTAAAATTTTTGTTAATTAATTTTTGAAACATGGGGACTAGGGGGGAGTTGTACCTAGGTAACTAGGGTTTCGGTATCTCGTTTTCCAAATTCTGTACCCAGCATAACCCACTCCAGACAGGACCATCAAAGATCCTAGAACTATCACTACACGGAATAGATTGACCTGTGAAATTTTTATTGTAATTGTTTAAGTATGTAATGTAATAAATTTTTTGGAAAAACGGCAGAGGATAAAGATCGCTTGTCATTCACCTTTAGAGCTTGAATTTTGTCTTTGAAGTCCGCTTTACCCATAGGACAGTGTGCACCAGCCCCTTCTGGCCCATTCTCCTCTATAAAATCTTTAATTTCGCGCCTTTTTTCCCGAATTTTCGAAAAAAAAGTTCCAATTTTTGGCAACGCGACCCCAAACAACACCCCGCTGATCCTGTCTTTCGACGACGTCGCTTTTTTTTCCTCGTCGTCTTTTTCAGACTCCTGTTATAAAATAGATAACGATAAACTCAAACCGTGTATTTGTTTACCTGCTCTCCGTCTTCGTCTGACTCGTTCTTGTCCGATTTCCTCTTTCTTTCTACCTCCAAATCGCGTAATCTCGTCTCGAAATAGAGGTTTTTCTCCTTGAGCAAACTGCAGTGCTCCTCCAAGACTTTGTTTTTGCCTTCAACCAAGGTGATCATCTTTCGCAGATTTTGGTTCTCTAGTTCGAGCTCGATGGTTTCGAAATCTGTGCGTAGTGGTTCGAATGTGGACAATTTATTGAGGAGTTTCACTTGTTTGGAACGCCCGGTGTTCGGGTGTTTGGTGCGTGCATTGTTTGAGGTTTTCTTGTCCATTGTAAAGACCGTTTTTGGATTAAAGTTGACGCGGTTTTAAGTGCGACGTAGCGCAACACGACGCGAACTAGACTGGAAGTTCGAGCGTTGCACGCTACGTTGCGTTACGTAATAGATGCGTGTGAAAATAACTGGTTTTATTGTGGTGTCGAATTTTTAACGTTAAAGTTGCTTATAACGTAATATTTTTGTAAAAGACTGTAGTTGGCAGTGTTATTTGTAAGAAAATACGTAGAATTTCGGATGGCCACCGAGACCACCCGAACTCATCCAACTCGTCTTTTTTTTTTTTTTTTGAAAGAAAAATCGAAAAGTACCGACTTGACGGTACTGTAATTGCAAAATTATGGTTATGGTTGGCGACGGCTTCTAAAATTATCACCAGCAATCATCGGAAAAGAAGTAAAAAGTAAACTTATCGGAAGCATACTGTCGAGATTAGATTAGACACTTTTGCTGGATTAATCTTATCTCAAATCTGTAAAATATTACCAGACAAAATTTATTATCGCTACGATCAATTTTTGGCAGTGTTTATACAGATGATTAAAACAAATAACACCCCCATATACACGTGGTTTATGAATCCGTGTTCAGTTTTTACCCTAGACTTCAGATAATTGTAGTTTATCAATGCGTTCATATCAGTTTATTGTTATTATTATTACTGATAACAAGAAAATTAAATTTGTGAGATTAATTAAAAATTACGATTTGAAGGAATTATTTATGGTGGTACTTGCTAGTAAACCATGATATTTTTTTTTAATAATCATGTTGGCTTTGCACGTTGACAGTTATTTGGCAATTAAATTTCAAAGATTGCTGGATCGTTAATCAATTCAGTGAGTATTTTTTTAAGAAATGGGATTCGGTTGATTAGACTTAAGTCTACGGTGAGAAAAGTTTATTAATAATAAGCCTACACCGATTTTATTGTTGTTTATTTTGATATTAAACGTTAGACTAACGTGTAAGTGTAATAAAGAAAGCTGCTATAATTTTTGGTGGATTTAGAAATTACGGTGTAAAAGATTATTATTATCAATGATGGATTAACTGTTTGTGGTTCAATAATTCATTAATAGAAATTTTAAATGCGGATTTTCTTCTCAGAATAAAAAAATACGTTTTTTGGAAATAATCTCTTGATGGTTTCTTGAAAAAAAAATAGCACGGAGAATTTCATAGAAACAATCTTTTTAATTGGTTTGGATTCAAGTGAAATTGAAATGGTTTTTGAAAATAGCATAATTTTTTTAGTTTTTTAGACGCTTCTTTGCAAAATTATATTTTTTTGCGATTTTTGTTTTCTGATAACCTCTAACATGCCACTCACGCAGTTTTTGTGCTTGAATTTTTTAATTCTTCAATTTTTATTATTTTTTTTTGTTTCTTCAGTTTTTCTTTTTACAATGTACAATTTTTCAATTTTTAATTTTTAAATTTTTCGATTCTTTAATTTTTCATTTCTTCAAATTTTTGATTTGCAATTTTTGGTTTCCGTTTTTGTTTTTCTTTATTTTTGCAATTTTTCGATTTTTCGTTTTTTCAATTTTTCGGTTTTCCGATTTTCCAACTTTTGGATGTTTTGGTTTTTATTTTTCAATTTGTATAATTTTTGGATTTATCAATGTTCCGATTTTATAACTTCTTGTTTTTTCACTGTGAAATTTTTCAATTTTTCGATTTTTCAATTTTTACAGTTTTCAATTTTTCGTATTTTCAGTTTGACTTTTCAGTTTGTCAGTTTTCATTTTAAATATGTATCTAATTATAATTTAAAAAATTTTTCACTTTTTCAATTTTAGGATTTTGGAATTTTTCCATTTTTCTATTACATTAATTGGATTTTAAAACTTTTTCATTTATTCGATTTTTCAATTTTCGATTTTAGAAATCGAAAAATCGAGAGACCGAAAAGTCGAGAAGTAAAAATCGAAATATCGAAATATTGAAAAACTGAGAAATTGAGAAACGAAAAGTTGAAAAATCGACAAATCAAAATGACGGAAAGTCAAAAAATTGAATAACTGAGGAAACCAGAAGAATCGAAAAGTTAAAAATTCGAGAAATCGAAAATCGAAACAGGAAAATCGAAAAACCGAAAATCCATAAAAACGAAAAATCAAAAAATGGAGTTTACAAAAAATCTAAAAATTGAAAAATCGAGAAATAGAAAAGTAAAAAACCGAAAAGTCAAAAATTGAAAAATCAAGAAAGGAATTGTGAAAAATCGAAAAGTCGAGAAACGAAATGTCGAAAATAAAATTAAAATTAGAAAAAATTGAATAAAAAAAAATTTCGAATCAAAGAACTGAAACGAAAAGTTGCAAATCGAAAAATTGTTGAAGCAAAAATAGAAAATTTTGAAAAATCGAAAAATTGCAATGTTCAAAAAAATATTGTAAAATATAAATACTGAAAATTAAAGAAATCGGAAAATCGGACAATTGCGAAGTCCAAAAATTTCAAAATTAAAAAATTTAAAAACTTAAAAAATCGAGGAATTGAAAAATCAAAATTGAATGAAAAAACGAAAAATTGTGACATAAAATGACAAGAACTTCAAAAATTGAGGAAACGAAAATTTGAAAAATCGAAAAATTAAAAATTGCGAAACTGAAAAATTTTTATTTTTCAGTTTCTCAATTTTCAATTCTTCGGGTCTTCAATTTTTAATTTGCAATTTTTCTAGTTTTCATTTTAAATTTCACTTTTTTAATTTTACTATTTAATTTTTTTTCCATTTTTCTATTAATGGATTTTAAAACGTTTTCATTTATGTATTCAATTTTTCGATTTTTAATTTTTCAATTTCTTTTAATTTTTCGATGAAATAGAAAAGTCGAAAAAACGAAACGTCAAAAAAATAGAAAAATTTATAGATCGAATAGCCGAAAAATCAAAAAGTAAAAACAATAGAAATATCGCGAAACCAAAAAATCGAGAAATCGGAAAATCAAAATGTCGAAAAATCGATAAATCGAAAAGTGTAAAAGTAAAAAACCGAAATATCGAAAAATTGAAAAACTGAGAATTGGAGTAAGCGAAAAGTTAAACAATCGAAAAATGGACTGAGAAGTCAAAAAATCAAGAAATCAAGAAGTAAAATCGAAAAATTAAAAGATCGAGAAACAAAGTTTCGAAAAATCGATAAATCGAGAAACCTATCAAACGAAAAATTGGGAAAAGGAAAACAAAAAGTCGAAAATTCAAAAAATTGAAAATATAATTAAAATTAGCAAAAATGGAAACATTCAAAAATTTTAAATCAAAAAACTGGAACAGAAAGTTGCAAATCGAAAAATCGGAGAATTCCAAATCGAAAATTTTGAAAAAACGAAAAATTAAAATTCGGGAAATTGAATAATTAAACATCGAAAAATTCAAAAGTTGAAAAGTGCAAAAGTTGAAAAATCAAAGAATTGTAAAATCAAAAAATTGCAACTCGAACAGTTTAATTTTTCGATGAAACATAAGCAATCGAAAAGGCAAAAAATCAGAAAATTAAGAAATTGAAAAATCGAAAAACGAAAAGTAAAAAAAATCGAAAAATCGAGAAACCGAAAATTTGAAAAATTGGAACATCGTATAATCGATAAATCAAAAAGTCAAAAAGTAAAACATCGAAATATCGAAAAATTGAAAAACTGAGAAATGGAAAAAAGTCAAAAAGTCGAAAAATTGAATAATTGAGAAAACCAGAAGAATCGAAAAATTGGAAAATCGAAAAACCGAAAATTCAAAAAGTTTTAAAATTGATCAATCGAGAAACCGAAAAGTCAAAAAATCTAAAAATCGAGAAACTGAAAAATCGAAATGTCGAAAAATTGATCAATCGAAAAGTGAAAAAGTAAAAATTGATGACGGAAAGTCAAAAAATTGAATAACTGAGGAAACCAGAAGAATCGAAAAGTTAAAAAATCGTGAAATCGAAAATCGAAACAGGAAAATCGAAAAACCGGAAATTCAAAAAATGGAGTTAACAAAAAATCTAAAAATTGAAAAATCGAGAAATAGAAAAGTCAAAAGCCGAAAAATCTGAAAATTGAAAAACCGAAAAGTCAAAAAATTGAAAAATCAAGAAAGGAATTGTAAAAATCGAAAAGTCGAGAAACGAAATGTCGAAAAATCGATAAATCGAGAAATCTAAAAAAAATAAATCGAAAATAAAATTAAAATTAGTAGAAATTGAATAATTTGAAAATTTCAAATCAAAGAACTGAAACGAAAAGTTGCAAATCGAAAAATTGGACAAGCAAAAATGGAAAATTATGAAAAAACGAAAAATTGCAATGTTCAAACGTCGAAAAATTGAAAAATCGAAAAATTGTTGAATAAACGAAACATTGAAAAATTTAAAAGTTGAAAAATCAGAGAAATGTAAAATCGAAAAATTACAACTCAAACTAACTAAAAATTCAGAAGCAGAAAAATCGAAAAATTGCAGATAGAAAAATGATTTTCAGAGATCGTATAAAGTCAAGATGTAAAAATCTAAATATCAAAAAATTGAAAAACTGAGAAATTGTGAAACGAAAAGTGAACGATTGTTCAAACTTTGGAACATTTTGATTTTTCGATTGAAAAATCGAGATGTTCGAAAGTCGAAAAATTTAATAATTGAGGAAACCAAAAAAATCGAAAAATAAAAAAAATCGAAAATTCAAAAAGTTTAAAAATTGATAAAAATCTAAAAAGTGAAAAATCAAGAAATAGAAAAATCAAAAGCGCAAAAATCGAAGAAATGAAAAAGCGAAAAGACAAAAAATTGAAAAATCAACAAACGAAATGTGGAAAAATTAAAACATTGAAAAATCAAGAAACGAAATGTCGAAATCTCGGAAAGTGGAAAAATCGTAAAATAGAGAAGTCAAAAAATCGATAAATCAAGAAATCTATCAGACGGAAAATTGAGAAAACAAAAAGGCAAAAATTCGAAAAATCGAACATCGAAGAATTGAAAATAAAATAAAAATTAGTAAAAATCGAAAACCAAAAATTAAAAAAGTAAAAATCGAAAATTTTGAAAAAACGAAAAATTGCAAGGTTGAAACGTCGAAAAACTGAAAAATTGAAAAATAGTAAACTTGAATAAACAAAAAATTGGAAAATTCAAAAGTTGAAGAATGGAAAAGTTGAAAAATTAAAGAATAGTGAAATCTAAAAAAACTCGAGCAGCTGAAGAAACTAAAAATTCAAAAATTCAGAAGTAGAAAAATCGAAAAATCGCAGACAGAAAAATGATTTTCGGAGATTTTATAATCGCCACGATCAGCTCAATCAAGAACTTGAAAAAGTGAAGAATCGAAAAATTGAAAAATCGAAATAAAAATCGAGAAACTTAAATTAAAAATCGAAAAAGTGCAAAATCGAAGAAATCGGAAATCG